GCTCTTGCCACTGCGATCATTTAGGCACCTTCAAATTAAAATTTAAACGGTTCAGTGTTTGGATCTTTTAGAGAGAAGGCAGAGCAATTATTTAGGAAAGAGGGTTCTGTTTAAAGAGAGAAAGGGAAAGAGCTTAGGAAAGTGAAAAAGAACTCTGAGGAGCCCTTCCTAAGATTAAGCTGACCTTAGGCTAATGGGCTTGACTGCTCCACATAAGGCCCAGTGGCCCTTTATTCATTTGCATACCCTTACATAATTTCTCTTCACACTGATATTCTTTTTAATTTAGTTTTTATATTCAAATACCTCTTTTTTACTTGGTTTAATGAAAGAAGATGCATAAAACTTGAACAAAAATTTCTCATTTCCTGAATATCTCTCTCACAAACAAGTACAATCAAACCAAACGTTCAAGAATGCATGTAGCTATTACTAAATTCGAGATACAAAAATAAGATACATGGCTTTATTCAGTTGGATATCAATTGCATACAGGATTCAACGTATTTTGCGAATTTTGCGCAAAGGTACATATCTTGAAGCAAAGTGATCCCTTGTGGCTTCATCTTCCCACTGCAATTTACGCCACCAACTTTTCTGTCCATTAATGTGCTTCAGACTGTTCCTTGCACTATTGGAATCAAAAGGGAGCTTTATCAGCTTTGGACAATCTGCTACACAGATCTCCTTAAGACAAGGAAATTGTAAAACCTGTGAGCATATGCTCCTTAACTTTGGTAAAGAATCTAGATCAACAATTTCAAGACTCGAAAAAACATTTTCTGAATGGCCAAATTCTTCACCTATGACTTCTTCCAAGGAGGGACAATTGTATATTCTAAGGAGTTGAAGGCTTTGAGCACGAGTGAGCCAATTCAAGTTCAACATGTCACACCCTTCAAGGGATAACTCACGGAGGCCAACAATGTAACCATGCTCAGTAAGTTTTGAACTCATGGGAATGCACTCTGTGATAGAACACTGTGATGATGGAGACCCCTTTTTCCTGACATGGTCTAAACTTGAAGGAGAAGAAACTGACATGGATAATACCTCTAGATGTTGCATTTTTGTCAAAAGTGAGAATAATATAATATGTGGCGTTGAAGTGAATGGAGAAAGTACTCTGAGATGTCTAATGCATCTTTGCAACTTGGGAGAGTTCAGCAATACTTGCACAGAAGAAAAGCAAAAGAGAGCAATGCTTATGTCTTGAAGGTATTCCAAGCATTCCAGTTCTTTCAACAAGACAGCTTCCTCAGGTTCCCCCAAGTCAGGAAGAATAAACTGATCTTCCCATGGTAATTTGCTAAACACTTGCAATGACACCAAACTTGATATCAAATTCCTTGGGAAGACAAGCCTGTTGCAAATATAATTCAGCAGCAGGCACCTCAAATTTTTCAAGTTCTGGAGCTCTCTTGGCAAATTTTGTATGTCAGTACCTGATAGATCCAAATGCTGCAATTGAACTAACTCCCCAATGCTGGAAGGTAATTCTCTTACTCTTTTATTACCTGACAGGTCCAACACTCTAAGATGATTTGCAGTCAGAAAGATCTCTTCTGGGAAGCTGGTTATCTCGGTATTTCTAACTAGCATTGTCAAGAGGTTTGAGCAATCTTGTTTTCCTGATAGTTTCTGAATGCTATGCCGCCACATTGATAGTTTCTCTACTTCTTTCCACTTTGCCTGATTATATGTTTCAACTGAACCACTGCATGCACCATCTCTCACCACGAACCTGGTATTGGATCCATGATCACAAGCTAGCCACAAAGCCATGTCTCTGATCACATCATGCATCTTAATCCTATTTTCTCTCTCACTGTCCTCCAACAAACAAGCAAACTTCAAGCTTGCGATGATTTCCTCTCCTTGGATTCGTGCTTCATAGACATCGTCACCAAATTCAGCTAAAAGACCTTCCCCAATCCACAGTTGAATGAGTTCATCTTTTCTAATATCATAGTCCTCAGGGAAGATGGAACAGTACAAGAAACAAGACTTGTGCGAGGCACTTGGTAAACTGTCATAGCTAAACTCTAGCAAACAATAAACATAGTCAACCATACCTGAAAATCTTGATGGATAAATCTTCAAAGTTCGTGCTGCTCGTTTCCATTCAGGGAGAGTCTTTCGAGCCATAGATCTTCCAACTGTGATGAGAGCTAAAGGAAGTCCCTCACACTCCTTGGCCACAATTTTGGCCAGATGAAATATTTCAGGATGAGAGTTGAGAGTTTCTTCACCCACTTTCTCTCTGAACAATGCAAATGCTTCATTTGTTGCTAAACATTCTACTTTGATGCATGTGTTGGCTTCCATGCTCCTGCAAACCTCCATGGACCTTGTTGTGAATATCACTTTAGATCCGTTTTCTGTATCAGGGAGAGGAATCCCCAACTTCAGAAGATCTATACGCTCCCATAAATCATCTAGCAGCAACACAAACTTCTTCCTCTTCAAAAAGTTGTATAAAACAATAGCTCTGTCATCAATGCTCTTACCACCCCATTTACCAACAGGAACATTTAATTTGTTTCCTATGCTTTGTTGAACACTCCCTACATCTGCTTCTTTAGACACCACAACCCAAATGACTACATCATAGAATTTTGTGGGAAGAAACTCATTGTTGAACTTTTTGAGCAGGGTTGTCTTTCCTACACCCCCCATTCCAAACAAGCCAATAATTCCCACATTATTATCATCAAAACATTCACTAAGTTCATCAAAGCTAGATTCTAGACCTATTGTGACCTCTAGAGGGATTTCATCTACCACAGCATGTGGCATTTCCCGAGCCACTACATCAAAGTGCCCTTTATCAATAAGTTCACGAATCTCACCTATTTTTCTACTTACAATCCTTCCCATCCTGAAGTTTGTTGGAAAATTTGTCAAACATCTGCTACGTGTTTCTTGAGCATGAGCAACTCTCTGCTGAATAGCTTGAACTTCTCTTTGCATGGCTTCAACTTTAACCAACCAATCATTCACTTCATTCAGACGCCTCAGGTGCTGGTCCTCGGCCATTTGAACCTTCACACTCACGTCAACCCAAAGGCCTAGAAGGTCAGACGCCATGTCCCTCAAACAAGAAAGGTTCTCTTCATAATCACGGACGTGGGCACAACAGTCCCACAAGCGAATTATGATCTCCAACACTGTGCCTACGAAGTCCATCATGGATGATAGATCGAACTCAAGAAAAGAAAAGTGACAGAGAACAGAAAGAGTATTGTTTGTGAAACCACAACAAGTGGAACAAGGAATTCAGGTTGCTCCTGTTTGTCTTTATACTACGACATCCCAAAATAAAAATATGCTGCCAACAACAACCCTGTGGCGTGTTAGCAACCGAACAGACATAACAATGGCTCTACGAGGAAGAAGAACACTATGTCATTGTAGTATGCTCCATCGTTGTGGTCTAGGATTTGAAATCCTGGTCATGTTTTTCATTGGTTCAAAAAGGTGGGTTATTAGCTCGTTGAATTCTAGTTCACTTCCACCAAATTCTAGTGCTTGTTATTATCAATGAGTATAGCATAAGAAGTAAAAAATTCTCGATAAGCCCACCTCATTCTCATCGTTTCTCCCACCTATCATGTCATACAAGAGATTCATCGCACAGATTTGCAACTAGTTTTTTTAAGTGTGAGTGAGAAATAAAACATTTAGATTAAGGCAGATTACAGTAATGATAAGACACTTCCATGCACATTTTCATTTGGTTTCATCATTAACTTCATCAAATTAATCAAAATTAAATAGAAAGAGTTTAAAACTTTCATTTTATGTAATTTATACTTTTAATCAATTGGAAATTATTCTAAAAAATGACTTTAAATTAGTTATTATTAAAAGCAATAATCTTTCTATAATGATTCATAGTTAAATAGCAATATAAATACCTTTACACAACTACTATACTTTTGTAATATAAATTTGACTACATATGAAAAATAATACACTTCCTCTCCATTAGACACTTAAAATTTTATCTTAGACTTAGGCATTCTATTATTAGACACTCAGTAGTATTCTATCTCTTATCTCATTCAAAGTATATTTCACACCCTATTCTTGTAATTAACTATATAAACTTCTCTCAGTCATCTTAAATCATTTTGCAAATTTGATTTTTTTAACTGAATATCAACCATCTTTTAAATCTATCTCTGAATTCGTTTTGTCACTCCTGCAAATATCATGAGAAACTTGTGGAGTCCAGAATAAGCAGATGAGAAAGATAAGAATAATAGGTTGAAGTTCATTGCATTCAAATTTATATTAGTTCAAGTTAATTACAGTAATAAAAATGAAAAAAAAAAACAAGAATTGCTACAAAAACTAGAGATATCTCAATTTAGCTTAACTACAGAAAAAAGTATACTCAGAAGGCTAAACATTTTGTTTGAGATCAGCATTTTCTTAGTGCAATGAATAATAATGCTAAATTCGAATTCTGATCCAAGCTCAACAATGGCTTTGGAATATGCATTGTTGTTTGTTTAAAATATCTGGTTGCCCCAGCAACAACATATCATCTTACATCTTGTGGATCCATAATAAAAGAGTTTATTTGTATATAAATTTTAATTTTAACATATCAAGGATAAGTTTTTTAAATAGTAAACTAACAATTTTTTTGAATAGTAAATAAGAAACTTTTATGTATATGAATTTTAATTTTAGCAAAATATTTTTTTCTTCTAGTTTTCTTATTCATGGTGACCATTGTTGGTAGTTCATCTAGTTCACATTTTGATGGAAAATAACTGTTAAAAACACTTTCACTTTCATACTAAAAAAATATTCACTTAACATAATTATTCTAATTTAAAGACAGATTATTGAAGTTCAATTTTTTTAAAATATACTAAGATAAATAAAAGCTTAAAAAAATACAAAGAATATTGAGTACCAAATTTGATTTATATTAATATTATCTGTTATTTAGTAGTAAATTTATTCATCTCTTCTGATGAGTCCTAAATCATGATACACAACACTTCTTACAAAACTCACTCACACCACACTCTTCACCAATAAGCTTATTTCCAATCCTTTCACATTCATTTCATCTTCTTCCTAATGACATTCGAACGCCTTCACACTCTCCTTCTCTTTCTCCTCCTAGCGTCCACAATTTCCCATTTTGCCCTCGCCGGGAAGCGCAAGGTCCACATCACCGACGACTTGGACGACGTGTTCGACGACGAGGAGGACGATGCGTGGAAGGAATGGGGCAAGAAACCTGAACCCTCTTTTCCCCCCTCCGATATTTCCAAGATGGATCCCTCGCAGATTCAGGAGGAGATGAAGAAGCGCCATGCCGGACCCGTCATCGGATTCGTCAAGCTCCGGTTTGGGGTTCGCCGGACTCCGGTGAGAACATTGTTGGCGTTTTTTCTGTGATGTTTAGCGTGTGCCCATTTGATAGTGTGGCTGTATGTTTTCGAATTTTGGTTAAATTTGTGATCTTTTGTGGTTTTTCTGATACCCTTTACTGTGGCATAATGGGGTTGAGTTGAAGTGGTGATTTTTTTTTTTCTCATGCCCAGTTCGTCTTTTTTTAAAGGTCTAAATGATCTTTTAGTTTCTACATGTTAAAACATCTTCCACTTTAGGCACCTATAGTTGTGTATCCATTTACTTAAAAACACTCTTTTTATTTCCTACTCATAACATTTTTAATCCTTTGGGACTAAAAATATTAAATGACATATTTAGAGAATGAAAGAGATTAAAAATGATACGAGTATGGAATTAAAGAATTTTTTTATGTATAAAGACTAAAATTGGAAGTTTCTGCAACCAATAATAGAGTAATTAAACTCTTCTAAACAAGTTAATAAATAAAGATGAGCTCGAGTTTGAATTGAAGTGGTGGGTTTTGGTTGTGGTGAATATCAATATGGTGGTTAATGGGTTTTTGGTGAGAGTTTATTTATTCAGTTGAGCTAGAATTTAACTTCACTTATAGTATCATATAGCCGGTTTCAAGTCCGGGTAATGGAAGAGGGTGTGATAGATCCAAGGTAGTCAACTGCTCAAAGTAGAACTTTCAAAATACCAATCACGGATCACCCACAACAGACTATGTGTGAATAATATCTCTTAGAATTTGGTCTTTAACCATACCCAATGGTGTCTTGCTATTCATGTAGATATGGATTTAGGATAAGGCTTTTGTTGTTGTTTGAATTTCAACTAAAATGTGACTTGCTCTGTGCTTGTTGGATTTTGGATTGGTAAGGCGGATTGAGGTTTACTTTCCTTGTGAAAAATTGATTGAACTTTGGAATATTACTTGAAAACGACTCTGAAAGTTTAGGCTGGCGTTGCACATTTTTAGAGTTTGAGAGTGGGGATAAATTGGACTTTCTGATATAGTTTCTATTTATTGTCCATGGTTTATTTGCCGGAATTTAATTTATGTATACTATCAGAGTAAAATAGTTTACACAGACATCCAATAGGAATTTATTTTATGATCACATCATATTCATGAATAATTTGGACATGATAAAGTAGTCAAAACTTGATTAATGTTTACGGGAAAATGTTTTACATTGACAATGTATATAAACGGAACTTTGTTTGTTTTATGATTCGCTGAAAAATTGTCAAAATGGCTCTTTAAGTACTGCTCGATCAATATAATTAAAGATTAAGAGTGGTCTAAGAAGGTCTTGAGATTTTGATCTGTACTTGATGCTCAATATTTTGTTTGATGATGATGCATTGAGGTTTCTACTTGGAACTTTTATGTGAATACTGATTAACATACTCATTTTTCATGATTTTTATAGGACATGGTAGCTGAATTTGCCATGAAATGGACACATATTCTGAGAACTGGAGCTGTTGGAGTAAGGTTTATGGGTGTTGATCTGAATACAATCATGTTCAACTTGGAAAGCATCAAATTCTTGGAGGAGGTATTGCTCTTTACTTTTCTGTTTTAATTTATTTTAAATATAAAGAATGAAATATACAAGAATCTACCTGGCTTTTTAATTTTAACAGCCCGCAATCTGCTGTTATATTCTTAACCTCCCTGTTCAATTTAAAGTAAAATATACTGAATTTTAACCAATGAACTTTACCTTTTTGTTTATCTCTTGTTATATTGAAAAACTAGTTCTGGATTCGTCCTGGAGGAAATAATAAGTTTTTTATACCCTTAGTTTTTTATGCTTTCTGTTGATATGATCTCATACTCGTATCATGTTGTCAGTTGAAGGAATTTGTCTTGGACCAATCAGAGGCTTATGAGATTAAAATGGGGGATGAATTTTTTAGAAGACCTGGAGATCCACCTCTAGATGAAGTTATTGAGAAGCTCAACAGTGAGAAAGCCAAAGCAGATAATGCTGATACAGAGGAAATTAATCAAAATGATAAAACGGAGTTGTAACAATCGGTATAGACATAATTCTATAGAAGTTGAGATAAAGCAGTTGAGTCACTCATTTTCAATGATTTACGAGTCTTCTTAAATTTTTAGTCCTTCTTACTGCACTTAGCAAGACTATTAGATCCACTTTTTACTGGTAGAAATTTTGGATAAAGAGACTGAAATGATGGTATTACTATTTTTATCATTGCTAAGGCAAGCTTGGTACTGATTATGTTGTTGCCTTGTGACATAACACTTCTACCCACTTACAAGAAAGGTTAGAAATTACCAAGAAGTTGTATCATCTATACTTCCAACTCACTTATAGGACACGAGTGATGCAGTTTAATAAGAAAGGAAACTAGTTAAAAATACCTCATGAATTTTCAAGTGTAGCAATTTGTCGTTGCACATAAAGGAATGAAATGGTAGTAAATATTTAATCCAATGTTTGACAATTTAACGAAGTCAGACTACTACACCAGCTTGCTACTGAAGTCAAAAAGCTCAAGAACTTGAATCCTAGGGTTGGCTGCTGCTTCTTCTCTCTCTTTTTGAGTGTTGAACCCCCAATTCACTAATCCAAACAGTCAAACATAGCAGATATACAACTCTAAGAAATACAAATAATGCAAAACATAGAAACTGAAAGAAACAAATGGATAGCAGAAATTACAATTGGATAGAGAGAAGAGTTCTACCCAGATACAAATTCCAGTTATCCAACTCGGGTTCTTTGATGACATTCTTTAGGGTTGCAAGCCTATCTTCCACAAAGCTGTTTAAAATTAACTTAGGTCAATTTCCCCTGAACCATACTATTAAATAAAATAACCCCTGGAAGCACAAAATCTTAACTGTAGTGTCAGCCCTTTGTGTTCTGCCATTTCCTGAAGCTTCTTTAACACTTTTACCTTGGGACTGTAATTAGTTTGGGAAAAACAAATTTGTCAATGGAATGAAGCAATTCATAGATAAAAAACATTATAAAGTGCTGATATAAAGCACCACACAGAGCTTCAGTTGGACCAAATATATCAAAATTTAAGACTAACCCAGTTCCTAAACCATATAATCGTTCTGGTGGTATAGTGACTCCAGCAAGCTCTCTTAGTAAAGCATCGGCAAAGCGGCTCTGAAAACAGATCAGGGGTAGAAGTAAGTAGAGAATATAAAGTGATCAGGGCATGGCAATATCAAATTGTAATGACCTGTTTTGTGGTGACAATGTACACTTTTGAGCTTGCAAATCTCAATGCATCAGCAACACCAGGATATAGTCTAGAGGTAAATCACCCACAAATTAGCAACCAAGACATGATTAGCAGGCAAAAGTTCAACACATCTTGCAGAAACATTTCTAAAATTTGAACATCTATACTCAATGCTATCAGAACTCTTTTTGTACTTTAAGCTTTTCTTGATTCATTTCATCAGATGTAAGTTCTAAGAAAAGTTATCCTATTTCTTGACATTTAATTGGACTACCTGTTTGCTCCAATCCAACCAGTGAAATCCCTCTCCAGCCATTCATCTCTGACTTTCCCAAAAAGGTCTACCAGATCTTCTCTATTCTCATTCCATTCTTCCATAATAACAGGTTTCAATTTGAACCAATTCTCCAGTATATCCTCAACCGTAAGCCCCTTTGAAACCTTTCAGAGAACTATGACATCAGTCAAAATGGCATCATCATAGACGATGACAAAAGTTCCTTAGAATCTGATAAAAGACTTCCACTTGTTAATAAGCGAAAATAGTTTATACACTGATTATATATAAAAAGGTTTCACTGTTATTCAATAAAAATGATCACATGATAAATTTATTGATTTTTACAAAACTATTTAAAAGTCATATTTATCATTATTTCTGATTGACTAATCACAAATACTTTTTACACTATCAGTTTATTAAAAAATAAATTAAAAACTCAACGCTGAAGGTTTGCGCCAAAAGTAATAACATAAATAAAATGGTAGACTTTATATACTAACCGAAGACTTCCTGATGGTAGGAACCCTAGTCTCAAGCAACAACCTTACAAGTAGAAGAGTTTCATATCCAGTTTCAACAACTGGACGTACCTGACATGAAAAACTTCCATTCCATATTTAACATCTCATGTGTAAAAAAAAAAATAATCAAACTAGAATTTCATACATAGCAGTTGTCTTGAAAATGCAATTATGCAAGTTCATACATTAACAAACATTCATATTTATTTCTAACTGAAATGCAAATCTTTAGATTGAAGCAAATATGAGCCTTATCCTAAAAACAAGTGAGTGGCACAAAACTAAAAATATTAAGATGGTATGTAGTCGTGTAAATACACATTCATTGAAAAGAATTATTGAATATGTTTTTAGTCATTGAATTTTGATACGCAATTAAAATTTGTTTATGTTTAAAATTTTAATACATTTTGGTCCTTAAATTTTAAAAATAATAGATATAGTCTTTTTAACTTAATTATGATAAATTTTTTTAATATGTTATATTTGTTTCCTGTTAGCATTTCAGTTGTTTATACTGTTTGATATATTTTCGCTTTAATGTCAACTAGAAAAAACATTTGACATATCAAAAAATTTAACATAATTGGATCATCTATTCATTTTTAAAGTTTAGAGACCAAAAAGTATCAAAATCAAAATATATCAAAGTTTCAAATAAAAATAAATTTCAATTTCTTATGAAAGTTCAAGAATTAAAAACATTTTTAATCTTAAAAAGAAATTACTTATATCACAAAAACTGAAAATGGTCATTAACCACAATAATAACAAAGAGAAGCCACTTGAAAATGTAAAAAAAAAATCCTCTCCAATCTTTTTATGTACAAGGAGCCAAATTCTATTTCACGTCTACAACCAGTCCTTAAGGTATTGCGATTTATGATATTTTGATTGGAATTTTCATTTTTCATGTTTGGAGTTAACATCATCATTAAAGCATCCAAGTAGCAGTTAGCAAATGGTTAATACTTTATCTGAACATCTATGCATAAATTCATCCAAATACCTCCTAAGACAAATTCAAGCATAAACATTATCATGAATGTTAATAGTTTTCCTCAACTAAATTCAATCTTGTTTCTTGTTTTCTTTTGGTATCTGACCTTTCTACTAGTTCTTTTCAACTTATTTCAGTAAAATTTACAGTCAAACTTATGAAGAAACTATCATTTTACAAGATATTATGGTCAAGTACTTAATTGCGTTCTTTATCCAAACATTCTCAAAATTTAAAGAAAAAACGGAATAACTAACAGCACAAAACAAAACCAGCCATAAATTATTTACTGTAATCATCTGATCAACAATCCAATCTTCTATGGTTGAATCCACACCGTCAAACAAGGAAGGCCATCTCAACTTGGCAGCCTACAAATTATCAACAAAGTAATCACAGCTTAGTTTTGAAACCAAAACCATACATAGACTAAAAGTGATCATCAGATACTTCAATTATTTTGTGTTGTTTTCCTCTTCCATTTGAGATAAAGGGTGATAGAATGAACCTTGAGAGCAGAGATTGCAGTCTCCCCACAACTGTCACATATAACTCCATCAAAGTCCAAAGCATAGAGGTGACCCATTTCCCTGTCTTCCTTCCAACGTTACTAAACTTATCTGAATATTATTATATTGTACTCTTGTTATGCAATTACCCACCATCCAAACAGGATTGAATTCTATGATACCAACTATCATTCAAATCAGGACACGTGCCAATCAACCATTTTTTTCTCTATTTTCTATTTATCTATTAAGAATGATAATGTTATTATCTTTATATTAAAACAGATAGATTATTCTTTATAACCGATTCAAGATTTTTTTTCGTATGAACCAAGTAGTCAATTTGTATGAAGTTTGAAATGTTTTAATGTGTGCATGGTGCTTATTTGACTTGCTTAGTTGCTTAAAAAATATTAGGTCTTTGATATATGTGGTTTGCATTGTCTTATAAGTTGGACATGATTCAACTGTGTTATATTACATTGGATCGTTTGCATGTTCAATGAAAGTTGATTGCAAAATAAGGCAAAATATCAGTTGATATGTTAATTGCCTAAAAGAAAAACCATTAGATTGAAATATGCATTTGTTGGCATTTGAATAAGTTTCAGATGAACATATGGAACACTGTTGCATAACACAAAACATCGTAATCTGCAAAAAAAAAAAACATATTACAAGAGGGAACAAATTTGTGGTTAAAACTACACCAACGGATAAGGAAAAGTCCCACTTCTGGATGGAATATGCAACATGCAATGCTAGAAATATCTCTCTATATAATTTATCCACGTATTATTGCATTAAACTATAATAAACTCACTCCTCTTTATCTGTCAGACTTAGTAGAACGCATAAATTAAAAAATTACAATTACTAATCTTTTTATTCAGTAACAACAAAAAATAACAATAAAAACAGCCTTACATATATGCTCTGTTTGGTACAGTTAAAAATCAAAACTTCCTGTTATATCCTCTATTCTACTTGGTTTGGTCCATCCTGTTTGGGTTTGAGCTGAACAGAACCATTAAGGACTATGAAGTTTTTCCTACCCAGTTTTAACATACCAGTATTTTCTAGAATCAAGCTTTGAATAAAACCTCGTGCATTAGATTAACGAGTTATTTATATGACTTTTATCTCTCCTCAATAGTGACATGAGAATTATTATTCGAGATTTAGTACGGGATTTAAAGATTGGTAAATTCATAATTAAGGTCATCTTGGACTTCTAAATGGACATTAAATAATTTCTTTATTCCCTCAGAGATAAATAAAAGGGAACAAAGGTATTTAGTTTCAAAAACTTCAGCTTGAGAGGATGAGAAGAAGAATACAGTACTCAGATTATAAATACAGTTTATTTGGCAGATATACTTGTACTAATGCTAAAGGAAGCTTTTGACTACGAACATGACGAACATCTGTATAGAATTTGTCTAGCACTTTCCAATAATTACTGTCAAAAGAAATAGTTAAATTCTTAATTTATATCTTTCTTACAGATTTTTCTATAATTTCGCTCCTCATTTGATGATTTAATTGTTTTAAGTTGAAATCTAATACAATACAAATTAATATCTGATATGATATGAGCGTTTATAACTCTTCTCGATAATTCTGTTCAGTAGAAATATGTTATTGCTTATAAATGAGTTGGAAGAAAATATTTGGTTCAATTATTGACAACTGATAATTCGATGAAAACCCCTATTTTAACTTCTTGCTGAAATCAGAGAGCTCAAGAACATGAATTCTGGGGATAGCTGCGGCTTCCTCTCTTTCTTGTTGGGTGTTGTAACCCCAATTCCCTGATCCAAACAATCAAGTTTATCAAGTACACTAAACATTTGGGGGAAAAGGCAATAATGCACAACATACGAACTTAGACACGATGAGGGAAGGTGTAAAAATCATAAACAGGTAGAGAGAACTACCTAGATACAAGTTCCATTGGTCTAATTCAGGGTCTTTGATGACATTTTTCAATGTAGCTAGCCGGTCTTCAACAAAGCTGGTAGTTCAGATTAACTGGAGTTAATTTCTTTTGAACCATCTTTAGAAGTAAGACAAAGTTCTATACATAATAATAGCCATAACCAAAATGCCATTATTTGCAGCGAAAGCACAATATCTTACTGTAGTGTCAGTCCTTGGTGCTCTGGCTTCTTTTGAAGCTGCTTCAGAACCTCTACCTTAGGACTGAAGGTGATGTCAAAGATAATCCGGTAAAAAAATATCTCATCAAAATATAGCTAGAAAAAAGAGAAACAAGTTACATATAAATATTTTACAGCATTACTTTAGTAAAATATACTAACCCGGTTCCAAGGCCATATATTCTTTCAGGTGGTATGGTCACTCCGGCAAGCTCTCGGAGTAAGGCATCAGCAAAACGGCCCTAAAATTAGAGAAATAAGTGGAAATTAATATGATGCGGTTTCATGGTATTGGGACAATGGCCAATTAACTTTGTCCCCTCTTATTTTGCTTAATATTGAAAGTAAAATAGTCTATTATTATTGTTAGGATTATTGTTCCCTTGCTTGGTCAAAAGGAAAAAAAGGTTACCTGTTTTGTGGTGACAATGTACACTCTCGAGCTTGCAAATTTTAAGGCATCAGAAACACCAGGATATATTCTAAAAACACAGCATTGTCAATTAATAATAGGAAATATCATTCATGAGAGTATGGAGAAATACATATATATTACTGCATAAAACTATTAATTAGAAGAAAATATTCAATCAACAAAAATAGACCAATATCCCAACAATGCAACAACATTGTCTAATCAAAAGGATAACCAGAATTCAGAACCTACACAAACTGATTCCTTCAGGAGTATTATCTATAAAGGGATTTCCTTGAACAGAAATGGTTCAAAATTTGTTAACTGTCCTACTTCTCCAACATTCTGTCAATGACAATCCATTTTCAGGTCAGTCAAATAGTTGGCTAGGGATAGCATGTTCAACATTATTACACTGACAATTTATTGAAGTGGAGCGTTAGCAACACATACTCTAACTTATTCGATGCACATTTTACTATTAGTTAAATTCTGTTGGAAATCTCAGAAAAATATGGGTGGGTGAAACTAATTAAATAAGGAACTGCACTATTTGATGAGTCTCAATAAATTAAAGAGTGAGCTCGAAAAAATAAGCTAGGATTGTATTGCTAGCATTTCCCTTAATATGAACTGAGTGTTAATGTCCTCATGTTTAAGATATCTCTTCCTAGTGCTTTAGTTTTCTACCATGCATCTGGTATAAATATAAGTATCAAAAGTTAATCCCCTGTCAGGAGTATTATTTGGCTACCTGTTTGCACCAATCCAACCAGCAAAATCCTGCTCCAACCATTCATCTCTGACCTTTCCAAAAAGATCTATCAGAGCATCCCTATTCTCACCCCATTCTTCCATAATAATAGGCTTCAACTTGGACCAATTCTCCAGTATAACCTCAACCGTGAGCCCCTCTGAAACCTTGCACAAGAACTATGACATCAGTCAACAGGTCCAGAGTTCATCTGAAAGCAAATGCAGATTCAAGCCCACTGGCATCATAATAAACTATAAACCCTGTTCCAATGACATGGCTTTTTTTTATATCACATCATTGGTACGGAATATCCACTGACTTGGTCAATGACTAATCTTAGTGACATTGTTTTCAATTGATAAGAAATAACTGATGAGAAAAACCAAAGCAGTAAGCATTTTTACCCACCGAAGATTTCCGGATAGAAGGTGTTCTGCTCTCAAGCAACAGTCTCACGAGTAAAAGATTTTCATATCCTGTTTCCACAACTGGTCGCACCTAACACAAAAAAACTACGGAAGTTCATCTTTGAACTGAAAACAAGTCCAACATGGTTTCATACGGAAATAGTCTTAAATTGAAAACACATAAAAGTTACAAAAAATATATTTATGACATCAAATAGTTCAATGATCTGAAATGAAAATTGATGATTGAAGCAATCAAGCAAATTTAATCTATTGCACTAAAAAATGATAGTTAAATCAGGAAACCATGGTAATCAGTTCACAAAAAGAAAACACACAAAATGGTTTTCCCTCTAATTCTCTGTAATGTTAGAAATACAAGTGTGAATTGAAAATCCCACATTGAGTAAAAATGAAAAAGATGAGTGAAATAAAATAAAAAAATAAAATCCATAAGCATCGAACCTTAAGACTTTTGTCAAGTTGCCCTTTGTGCGCATTTTAAGATGGGATCTTAATTTATCCTAGCTATGTTTGTTAAGTCTATCTTGTTACTTGGTAAGTCTACCTTCTAAGATATACATAGCCTAACTTTATATGAGAGAAGTTTATTTCTTTTAGCTTCTTATTTTCTTCTTCATAAATTTAACCAACAAAGTCTAATTGCCTAATTAGAACATGGCAGATATTTGACACTTCATTCAAAATCAAAAACCTCTGAAGTACAAATCCAAAATCAAACACCCCCTAGAATTCATCAACTAAAGTCAAACTACACGAAAATTCAAGACTCTATTGCTACCATCCAGTCATGCCTCCACTGATCAATACTCTTTCCAACCAATCAAATTACAAACCAACATAGCCAAACCAGAGAATAGTTGCATGAAATCCATAACAACTGAAACTAAGTGAAATGAACTTATTATACTGTGTGCATCTGGTCAATAATCCAATCTTCTGTGGCCGAATCCACCCCGTCAAACAAACCAGGCCATCTCACTTTGGCAGCCTGAAAATATCCAAACAGAGAATAAATAATGATGAGCTTTAGTAGCATTATCATGAATTCACAGAGGAAAAAGCAATTGAAAAAAAAAGTTGAAAATTATAAAGATTTTCAAATAAAAAACAAAAATTGTTTTGGGTGGAATGAAGAGAAGAACAAACCTTGACAGCAGAGACAGAGCTTTCGCCGCAGCTATCACAGATGATTCCATCGAAGTCCAACGCGTAAAGTTCACCCATTTCACTCTTCTTCCCCTTTTCAGTTTCACTGTAAAATGCTGCGTGTATTTCGTTTCCAACCAAACAGTTCCTTATTGGTCCTTCGTCGGAAATCCAAACACGTGTCCACGTACATAGCGCAGTTCAACAAACCGAACCGAACCG